CCTTTTCTCCACAGCCTTGTCTATCTTTTGTCTTTTTGATAATTAGCCATTCTAACAAGACCTAGGTAATATCTCATGGTGGTTTTAATGGGCAAAAGACTTGAATAGACATTTCTTAAAAGAAGACACATAAATGACCAACAGGTATATGAAATAATGCTCAACATCACCAGTCATCTGGGAAATGCAAATCAAAACCACAATGAGCCACATCTTAAAGGCAGAGCCAGCAGGATTTCTGATGGGCTGCAGGTGCAGGATGAGAAAAGGAAATCCAAACGCCCTGCACCCTGGCCTGAACCAGTCCTGGCTCTGGGTGGAGGGCCCTGTTGCTCACATGACCACAGAACTCCAGTTCTGCCACCTGCCCCGAGGCTGAGGGGTGCACTGTGGAGGCTGAGGTGGGAAGAGGCCGAGCAGGGAAAGGTGCAGAGTAGCCCACAGGGGGCAGAAGGCAAGCTCACCTCAGCCTTTCAAAGGCCTGTGCTCTCTCACACCAGCCACCATTGCCTTCTACAAGAAGACTACTAGGAAACCTCCTGCTGCCTCTGACATGGCATTGACTTCGCTAAATTATTTGCTTTGCCAACACTGGGAATTTCCTCAAGAGATTCCACACCTCCTCTGTTGATATGGAATGTCCTGTAGTTACTCTCAGGTGGCTTGGGAACGTGGTTGGCAACCCTAAACTCTAAACACAACAGTCTCCTCCTCCGGGAACATTTCCAAAGATGCTCCAAAACTGGGTGGCTTTTTCTCAAACTGAAAAATAAGCCCCTTTTAGTTGATGCCCAAAAAATGTTTGTTGATGAGTGAATGAGGTGAATAGGGACAAGAAGAGAAGATGTCTCATCTCCCTCGAGTGTGTTCTCCTTTATTTATTCTGAAGTGCCAGAACATCAGGCACATCCAAAATCCCACATGAAAGCAGGAACTGTCCCAGATCTAAATGCCAAGGCTTGGCGCCATTTTCTATTGCCTATGTCCTGCCCCCATGCCAGTGGGCAGTAGGGACAGCCCGACCGATCACGCCTCGTCTGTGTCTTTGTGTTCACTTCCACCCACGCCTGCCTCTCAGCCTGGCTTTCTGCACCGTATGGCCATGCTTTGTGGCCATTTGGTTCCCTGGTGAAACAGGGTCTAGCACCTCGCTTTTACCCTTTACCAGCACAGCTGGGCAGGGGTACTTTCAGTTACCTGTCCCCACTCTCCTGAGTCATTTCCCAGGAAGGTTCCATTTAGAATGCCAGAAGTCCCAAAGAATCCTAAGCCTAGATCTGACATTTTTAAATGAGTGGAAAAAGAATCAAAATAAGAATACTGTTTTGTGATGTGAAATTGTATGAAATTTGAATTTCAGCATTAGTAATAAAGCTTTATTGGGACACAGCCACATGTTTGTTTGCATATTGTCTAAGGCTGCTTTTGTACCACATTGGCAGATTGGGTGGCTGTGATGCAGACTGTGTGGCTGGCAAAGCTGTATGGCTCTTTACAGCACGAATTTGGGGAACCTTGGTCTATAGCATGTGTGGCCTTCGGTGCCCAGACCAAGAGTCAAATCCAGGCAGCACCATTAACTCCTTCGGTTACTAGGTACATTCCTTAGTCCCTCAAGGCTGAGTATTTTCACACCTTCCTCAAGGTGAGTTTGAGGATTTCTCCCCCAAGATGTTTGGGGCATCTGGCATGACTGGGCTCAGAGGGGAACTTTTGGTAGCTCACACTGCGACCCTGAAAGTTGCCCATGGTGTGGCACATTTATTGCAGGGGAAGGCAAGTTACAGGGGATAGAGGAGGCAGCCTGATGAGAGAAGGAGTCACAAGGGCTACCCTAAAATGTACAGTGGCTATTGAGGGCTCTTCAGGTTCAGGAGGCTGAGGAGATGCAACAGGCTGGGCCACAGCCTGGCACAAGGGGATGGGTGAGAGGAGAAGGGCATGGACTATATGGTCCCCAAATCACTGGCCAGGTGGTCTTCTGGGGACGTGGGCAAGTCTTCTCCCTTTCCCAGTGTGGCCTCATTGGCATCAGCAGGGGTGGACTTGCAGTCCCACTATCCCACCCCCCCATCTCTATACCACCCCTCAGACATCCATCACCCCTAACCACTCACCCCCAGGCAGGGCCATCTGTGTGTGTGGCTTTGCCCAGAGGCCCAGGAGCTGGCGGAGCTTGCCCAGGCTGGGGGATTGAATCCCTCTCTCTTGCCTCCCACTGCTGCTTTATTAATTGTTTATATTGGAGTCTGTTAATTGACAATAACCAGCGTGCTGAAGTGTCTTTTAATCACCCCCGCTCAGGGCCCGGAGGCTGTGAAGGATTGGTGGATTCAATAAAGTGAGAAGGAATTAACACCCCCCATCCTCTTCATTATCACAGTTAGATAAACTGCCAACACCTGTCATGCAAATGAGCAGCAAAGAAAACCAACCCCTCCTCCCTCCAGAACTTCCCTGGGTGAGGTAGGATGTAGGCCAGCCCAGCCAGCAGGCATGGTGGGCACACACAGGGGCTCAGACCTGCAGAAACACCCCCTGTGCCATCCTGTGCACACTCGTCCATTCAGTAGGCATTTCTTGAGCAGGTAGATGCTGCAACTCCCTGTGGTTATGACAATGATCTGTCACTGCCCTTGAGGAAACTGTAGTCCATTAGGGGAGACAGACCTTAGAGGGTTGCCAAACAGTTACATTAGAGCAATGACAGAGGCCCCTACAGGGTCCTCTGGGAGGCCAGAGGTGCAAGGACTATCTTCTTGGGATGCAGGGAGGGGAGTGTGAGAAGGCTCTGTCATCGTGCAAACTCACACCTGCCTGAAGAGTCATAGGACATTGCACCTCTGTCTCCCTCCCCATCTGCTAAGGCTCCTGAAGCTCCCTGTCTCTGTCTGTGGGTGAAGCTATTCCCACCCACACTTCTGCAGCTCCTGGCTGAGCTGTCACTGGGCTTGGAGACAGGGCAGCCTGGGGAACTTTGTGCCAGGCAGAGTCTGAGCTGTGTGTGATGTCTAGGGCTGGTGGGGCTTGGCTGGCAACTCTGACCTGCGGGGACTATGTGAGGGCTGAGGCCCCTTGTCCAGAAGAAGTGTCATTGGCTCCCATCACCAATGTCAGTCCTACTTTTAAGTCTTGTAACACGGACACCTATCTCTTCACCTGGTCTCTCCCTGGTTCCCTGTTCTCCCAGTACTTCCTGGGACACACACCCCAGCTTCAGCCATAATGCCGGTCTTTTGTGGGGCCTACCCAGCTGCTTCTGCACTGCCTCCTGCTCATCCTGAAAGGCCTTGTTGGGGTTCTCTTTGTGGGGAGGAGAAAATGAGGACAGTGGTGGTGATAGCAGTGGAAATGGGATGGAGTCTGTCCCCTGTCCAGCCTTAGATCGGTTTTGGACCTCATGGGGAAAGCTGAAGGGAGATGGTACAGGAATCTGAGGGACCCCACAAGCTGATGGGGCCTTCAGATACCAAGCAGAGGGGTGTTGACAACTGATGTGACCACACAGTTGTACAGAGAAATTGCTATGGCAGCTGAGCTCTTTCCACATTATAATTGTCCACAGATCTGCCTTGTGCTCAGGGCTGTGAGCATAATGTCCCTCATGTCCCCAGCCAGGATCTGGCACCAAGGAGGAGCTGACAGAGCCAGTTCCACAGCTTGGCCCTGTTATCCTGGCACCCAAGCAGAATGAGAACCAACTCTGGCCCCTGGGGCAGGCCCTTCCTCAAGTGGCACTGCCCCCAGGAGGCTGCATCTCCCTCCGAGGCTCTGGCTCCTCTGGTGACCCGCTGTAGCTCTGGCAAAGTGGGGATGTTGCTACACATTTCCACCCAGGCTGGGACAGGCACCCGAGGAGGGACAGAGGAGAGGCCTCTCCTCTCGAGAGCAGCATGGGGTCAGGTGGCAGCAGGAGAGCCCTGCTCACCCCAGGTTCATGTATTCTGGGAACCTCTGATAAGTGAACAACTAGACCCCAGACCTGTGGTTTTCCGTCTTTAGACTCCAATTTCCTCATCTGTCCACTAGAATTCTAAATTTGACCACCTAGTTTCTCTCTGGAGGACCCCTGCTGGCTCTAACTGCTTACAGAATGGGAGCCAAGCATCGTCTGTGGTCATGTAAGATATAGGGCCCTAGAGGCCCTTCCAGACCTGTCCCCCTTCTTCCCATATCAGGGATCCTACTCCAGCCACAGAGAACTCCTTACTGTTCCCCAAATGTGCTGTTCTTCCCCTAGTCTGGCGCACCTTCACTGCTTGGCAGAATCTGGCTCATCCTGGAAGACTCAGTTGTCCAACTTCCCCATTGTACCCTGTCCCCCATGGCTCTCCCTGATTGTCATCACACTGAAAACTTCTTGAGGGGCCATGTTCTATTAGTTCCGTGTCCCTGAGGCCTGACAGAGCAGGTGCACACAACCTGTTTTTCCAGGGAGTGATGCTCTCTGGGGGCCCCTCCTGTCACAGGATCCTGATGGGGGTGGTCTGAGCATATGTGTGAGGGGAGATGGGGAGTTGGGGGAAGCTGACCTTGGGCTCTGGAGCTCCACTACCCTCTTCCCAGGAAAGTCCCATTGCCCCAATGTCCCCCAGGGCCTTCATTGTGCCCACTCTGGGAGTCAGGATTAGAGTGTGAATTCAATAGGATTAGGTCTGACTGGGTGTAACAGAGAAATGAACCATCAGTGAATTAAACGAGATAAAAGTGTATTTCTCTCTCTCTCTTTTTTTTTGAGACAGAGTCTCATTCAGTTGCCCACGGTTGAGTATTGTGGCATTATTGCTCACAGCAACCTCAAACTTTTGGGTTCAAGTGATCCTCTTGCCTAGGCCTTCCCGGTAGCTGGGATTATAGGCACTCACCACAATGCCTGCCTGTTTTTAGATACAGGGTCTTGCTCTTGCTCAGCCTGGTCTCCAACTCCTGAGCTCAGGTGATCCACTGGCCTTAGCCTCCCAGAGTACTAGGATTACAGGCATGAGCCACCATGCCTGGCAAAAAATATGGAAGACTTCACAAATTTGCATGTCATTCTTATGCAGGGGCCATGATAATTTTCTCTGTATCATTCCAATTTTAGTATAGCTGCTGCTGAAGTGAGCACTGTATTTCTTTCTCATGTGACAGTCCAGAGTAGAGGAGCCCAGGGATGGCATAGCAGCTTTGGTCTATCAGCTCTTGGGAACCTGTTCCTTTTTCTTATCAGCCATGCCTGGCCTCCATTCCAGGTCTCAGCTCCATCACAGCTCCCCAGGTTTTACTTGGGGATCTCCTCTTATTCCTAGTCCATGCGGACTGAGGGGGACTGACTTCACTCCTGTTCTAGGTGGACACTTGATCTCAGCCTCATAAATCCATCAACACTAGGGTTTGGGAGAGGTGCCCTATTTTTCCAGCTAGTAAAATGAACACATGGGACTTCCCAGGGCCATCTTTGACCCTTGTGAATGAAGCCAGCCCAGAGGAGAGGCTTGACCGTCCTGAAGACACTTTAGCACCTGGATCCAGCCGAATCTGAAGCTCCAGGCTTTTCATTGACTTAAGCCAATAAATCCACCCCTCTTTTAATTTTTCTTCATTTAGTTGAGTACAGTTTCTATGACTTAAAACTTGATTTATACAAGGGTTTAGGATGTTATTCCTCATAGTCGTTTGAATTTAAATGAAGGAACTCTGGGATGAAGACACATTCAAACCTCAAAGGAATATGCTAGTGAAAGGAATGCATTAGAACATGTAGAATAGGCCTGTCCTCTCCAGTGAGCCCAGCGCCCTTGGCTCCATTCCCCTTGCTTTCATTTTCCGTGGCTCCTAGTTCTCCTCCGTCTGTGCCCAGACCTCCCTCTGGACTCTGCAGCTTTGTGCTCTGTCCTACTGTCCCCCTGGACACATCTGCTTGGAGAGCCCAGACACCCATTCATTCAAAGCCACATTCATCCCCTACCCCCATAGCCTGCTGCCCCTTTCATGGTGCTTGACCCCTCCTCCCAGCCCAGTCCCTTCCAGACCACCTCTGCAGTCCTGCTGTCCCTCACTTCCTGCCATCCTGCCACTGCTCACTGCCATAACTCATGTGAGCACCCTCACAGTCCCTCAGCCTGCAGACCTGCCCTCTCCTCACCCACTCACAGCTCAGCTGCCAGGGCTTCATCTTAAGCACACATTGGTTTGGGGTAGATGCTTTCTGTAGTCTCTAACCCTGAGGCAGGCAGGGACTGCTTGGAATGCCCTGTAGCTGCCTCTGAGCGGGAGATGCTGTGGGTCTGGTTTCCCATAGGGGACTATAGCAGTTCAGTGCCATCTTGGTGACCCCCTGAGGGTGGACTGAGCCAGAAAGAATGAACTCATCCCACTCTGCCCACTGCAGGGTAGATTCGGCTGAAATTTGTTGGCCCACTTGCTTCTACTCTAGAGGCCCTATAGGGTGGATGGCATAGGATGACTGACACCCTCATGACATCAGGGGAAAATATGAGGACCCAAGGAGCCCCCTGGGGACAGGGAGCCCTTGCTCATGAGCTTCAGGTAGAGGTGGAGGTAGAACTCAGGAAGGCCAGGATGAGGGCATCTATCCCTCATCCAAGGACTTCCATTAATTCCTGAAAACCCTGCCCCTAAATGAAAAGCCATTAAATGAAGAGATATTTTCATTAATTTTCATAAAAAAATTATTGTGGTTTTTATCCCATGCCAAGACAGCCAATTTCTCACAGATAGCAAAACAGCGTTCAAACAAGGAAAACAAGTTTTTGTAAGTAATATACGACAGTCTGAAATTAAGCACTATCATTTGTAAGTAGAAGGTAACGTGATGAAGGTTTCTCTCTCTCACAAAGGAGGTGCCAGCAGGTCAGAAGTGGGGAGAGCTGGGGTGCTTCCCGGGACCGGCTCACAGGCCATGATCTTTGGAGTCTCACAGTTACCTTGCACTAAACAGACTTAGAACAGAGAAGAATAACTTTGGGGCAAAATAAAGACTTAACAGAAAGTACTTACAAAGAGGTATGGCTGTGCGGGTGACAACATGAGGAACTGTGGAAGATGTCACTGCTCCCACCTCCTGCTCAGTGCCTGATAACAAAGCAAAACAGTTTGGTCCCCCTAAACCTGGCACACGATTCAGGTGTATCCCATGTGATACTCTCTGCCCACACACCATAGAGTCCATAGATGGCCAGCGCATCTTTGTCTGAAAGTGTAACACATGCAGGTTCCCAATTGCCTGTTGAAAATGCATTGAGGCCTGCAATGGTTGTGTCTGTACTGAATATGCACAGACTTTTTTTCCCCTTCTCCTTAATTCCTAAACAATACAGTATGGCAACTATTTACATGACATTTACGTTGTATTGGGAATTATAAGCAATCTGGAGATGATTTAAAGTATACAAGAGGGTTTGTGTATGCAAATACAATGCCATTTTATATCAGGGACTTGGACATCCAGTGATTTTTGGTATGGAGAAGTCCTGGAACCAATCCCTTGCAAATATCAAGGGATGACTTTATCTAATTAAGAGATTTAGGGTGAAAATATTTTTTTCTTTTTAGAAACAGAGTCTCACTTTAGCACTCTTGGGAGAGTGCTGTGGTGTCATAGCTTACAGCAACCTCCAGTTCTTGGGCTTAGGCGATTCTTTTGCCTCAGCCTCCCAAGTAACTGGGATTATAGGTGCCCACCACAACACCTGGCTTGAAAATATTTTTATAACAAAAAAAGGCAAGGGGAGGAATCATTGTCAGAAAAGTGGTATTGGCTCAGGGCCTGCAGTTTAGAGGTTAGGACATACACCACATAAACTGGGGCTGGTGGGTTCAAACCCAGCCTCGGTCTGCCAAACAATCATGACAGCTACAACAAAAAATAGCTGGGCATTGTGGTGGGCATCTGTAGTACCAGCTACTTGGGAGACTGAGACAAGAGAGTCTCTTAAGCCCAAGAGTTGGAGGTTGCTATGAGCTGTGACGCTAAGGAACTCTACAAAGGGTGACATAGTGAGACTCTGTCTCAAAAAAAAAAAGAAAGAAAAGTGATGTCACTTATCAAGAGCCAATGGAGTGAAAAGTGGCCAACTGAGGAGCCTGCGGAAGGGCCCATATTTTCCGAGGACATGAGGCCTCGGTTCCCAGCCCTGTTAGTTAGAGGACTATACAACCTTCTGCCCACCAGACTCAGCAGTTTGGAGCAAGCCAGTCCTCATGGTGGCGAATAATGTTTGCCCTGGGAACTCAGGAGAGGCAGAGCTGGGAAGCACTTAGGTCTCCCAGCTGCTCCACAGTGGCCACAGTGCCTTTCCCCTCCTCACACCTAGCAAATGCCCCAAGAAGGACAAATCCCATCAGTATGGTTGGACTCTGAGAGTTCACAGGATTCAAGCCAAAAAATAGGGCTTTGATTCCGTAGTTATGAAGGGAGGGGCACCCAGAGTCCCTACCTCCCCTTTCCCCTGTGTGAAGCCTAGCGCCATGCCCACATTTTGCAGAGTTTAGCTCCTCTCCCACTCCTGGCCACTCCTGGCCACACTGCTTGGATAGGATCCACTCCCTCAGCCCCAGGGTTGGGACATCTGGCAGCCAATCAATGAAGCTCCCCAACCTGAGGACTTGCTCCACAAATGGGTACATGACCAATTTCCGCCAATGAGACACAAGGACACTGGTGTTGGGGAATTCACAAAAGGACCCTCCTTCTTTTCTAAGACTTAACCTGAGCTGACTCTAACTTCTGAGGACAGCAATGCTTCTTTCTTCCATAGGCAGAGAGGCACTTCAGGGCCTTAGGAGTAACTGTGTCCCCACCTGAATTCAGCCTACAGTAGGTCAGCTGTGCTCACTGGAGCCAGGCTGAAAGTGGGGAATGTGCATGTGGCTCCAGACTGCTGACAGCCCAGTCATATTGTGGGGGGCAGAGAAGGCAATGTTAGGAAATGTGGACACTGTGGAAGACAGAGCAGAGAGTAGAAGCAGGGTTTCCAGTGATATCACCAGGTTGCTAGATCCAGCCTAACCTGGAACAGATTAACTGTATTTTAAAAAATTACATGAGCCCATAAATCCCTTCTACCATGTAAGCCAGTCTTTTGTTGCTTTCAACTGAAATATTCCTTCCCGGTACTGCTGCTCTCCTGTATCAAGGGTCACACCATGTGGGACTGAAAGAAGAGGCCCCAACACAGGGTTGTGCATAGGGTTACAGGGGACAGAGCACAGCTGGGCACACAGGGCCAGGGGGACTGACCGTGGCATCTGATACATGATGGGCTTCTGAGGCTGTAGATTGTTTGGTGACTCAGGGTCAGACATTCAGCCCGTGGCAAGAGCCTGTGTTTTCTCAAAGAAGAGTTGCTTATTCCAAAGCTCTGGAGACTCCAGTGCTGGCTGACTGCCATGCAGCATTGTGCCCTGCCCTGGACACTTTAAGCACCACTGGTAAGGACTGAAGACAAAGGGGCCTGGACCACAGCCCAGGGTCCCTGCAGAGCTCCCCCTTGCCTGGGGCCCCACTCAAAGCTGGATGCTTTCTGGTTGCTTAGTAAACCCTTTCAGATTGGTAGAAAGAATTGATCTTAAGGCTGCTTTCAAAATCCAAAGAAGTCCATCAAGCATTGTGCCTCTTTTTAAAGTCTCCTTCACTTTGAAGAGAATGTTCCAACATGCCTCAGACCAGTGAGCCTGCAGGATTCTCTCTGAGGCCCTGAGTTATGCCCCAGTCTCTGTCACATGTGCATCTTACCCAGACATCTAGGGCACCCGTGACTTCCTTCCTGTCGTACCTTATTAGCGTTTTGCTCTCGGTACAGAACACAAGCCCACTGGCAGCATGATGTCCCTTGGGATGGGGAGATGGCCCAGGGCTGTAGCAGGGGACAGGAAACCAGCACTTCCTGAGGCAGGGAAATAACACCCTGCTCCTCTCCCTGTCAGGGGCCAGCCAAAGGCTTCTGGAGCTTTCCATTTGTCAGACAGAGCACATTCCATTCTCCAGATCAGGGACTGAATACCAAGCACCAGGGCTGAATTAATTTACTCTACCAAGGAGACCACATCTGGAACAGCAACTGCAAATGGAGCTGCCACCCGATTAATTTTACAGTGTACCACTGC